CTTCAATCATGAGAGTCTCTGGGTTGTTACAGAATCATGAGGCAATTACAATGTTTTCTTAATGCCCTGATGTTTATAAAATGGCCCAGATCATCAAAGATTCAAGCTCAAATTTCAATTACCTTACTCTTTTTTCTAAGGCTTATACATGCTACACAAGTATGTAACTGTGTGTAAAGATGGCATCTCTTTTGTCGTTTAAAGATAAAGCTAAACAATGGCACCAAACTTTATGAAGTATCAAATTGTTCCTGTCACTGGTGCTGACACCAACATTTTAGATACAATGGATATATGAGTTTTCATTGTGGCTGTGGGTAGGGAATAGAGTTGTAAATTTCATTATCACTTAGCAATTCAGGCAATGTTTCAAGCTAGGAAAAATAATTAGAGCAGAAAAATTTTGCAAAATGAATGTCAGGCAAAATATCCAATAAAACTTTAATTTCTTGGTCTGTGTTGATTCCAGTCCTTTGCTTTACTAGCTATTCATAAGTTTGTCTTTGAGTATTTCTTATTAGAATCTATCTCTCCATCCATAGCAAAAAAAAGTTTTCGTCTTTCATAATCAAGGATTATGATCTAAGTATATGACCTATGCAAAATATGTGCTCTTACAGACAGAAACAATTTGCAATAATCAAAACTGTACTATATTGAAAGAGATGTTTGATACATCATAAATACAACACTAGAGGAATTCTGAAATGAGGCAGAATTTCATAAAATATTCTATAAGATAAATGCTAGAGTGAGAGGTCTATCTGAAGCACAAATTAATATACCACCTACACTGAAAATGTTTGCCAGAGTTTGTCTATATTGATTATATATGAATGCATAAGAAAAATTATGACAGTCAATTCAAGTTATAGTTTTATAGGACCAGAACTAAAGGCTATTATGAATATATAAATACCACTTAGAGATCAGCACATGCATTTTAATTGGACAGTTTAATTAACATTTAAAATAACTATGATTGGTGTGATCATCAAACCATATTTTGCTAATGAGTAAAACAAGACTATCTCATGCCTCTTACCTGTAGAAAGTAGATATTTCTAAACAAAGATATTAAAAGTTTTACAAGTAGCTAAATTGAGTTGATTTTTCAGTTATGAGAACCAAACTGTTCAGTTTTGAGGACTTTGTGATTGCTAGACAAGTATTCTAACATAGAGCTAAATCTGCACCCCCAATTGAACTATTTATAAAAGATAGCCATATCTATATTTTAATACAAATGGATTTCAGATTAATAAATCTCTTGAAATGTTTCTACATTCCTATTTTCAGATTGTAAGATTGAAGTAAATTTTACTTAGATGAATTTTACTCAATTTAGTTTCAACTAAGTGTAATTCTATTTTTAGACATATAGATGAAACACCTCAATAGAATCTTTTCAGTTCATTTTACCCTCTCCTAATTATACAATGTTTATTAAAGGCAATATTTCATTAATATTGAATTTTAACTCAATAATTAGTAATAAATATAATTTTGGTAGTTACTTAAAATCTGCCAACAAACATCATTATGACCCTTCTTGAGAATACACCACCCAGGTATAAATCTCAGGAAACTATTAACAATAAACATTAAAAACAAATGCCAGATGATGTCTTAAGCTGCATGATGCATCAATAAAAATGATCAGGAGTCATGCTAATTTTACCAGAATTATTTTTTCTTTAATATACCTTCCTCTGTTTCTTTTTTTATTGTATTTGCCTTCAGAAAGCAATGTAGTTCCACTCTTTCTCAAATGAATGCATTTGATGTTCCCATTCGTTTTGGCTAGCAATCTTGTTCAATTATGTAGAATAATGACTGTCAGGACAGAAATGGGTCCCTCATCAGCATTAAAGTGACATGTTGTTTAATGAACTTAGGTGAGCATAACACTAATGATTTAAATCATGGTATATTTCTCTCAAATTTTCTTTGAATGCATATCTTTAATTTGCTATTGAAGACGTTGTACAAGGTCAAAGGAGGCCATTGCTACCAGCTGATCAAAATTATGTTTGTGCTTCAAGCATGTCTTGTGACAAGACAGAAATAACTAAAGTAATAAGGCCAAGAAATGAAAGAAAACATTAAAATAACATTGTTATGTATAAACTCATTACAATTTATACTACTAGAGGAGGAAGTGCTTACTGGGACTTGCACAGTGGGAATTCAGTCCATATTGACTGAAGGGAAACTGCCATAAGAATTTTGGAGAATGATTTACGATGGCCAATGATATGAATTATTTAAACATACAAATATGCTATTTGATATATTCTTCAGAAACTATTGTCTCTGGCACAAGAGTATACAAACGTGTTTATGGAAGGATTATACATGATAACTAAAACATTCAAAACATCCATGTGACCTCAAATATAATGTTATAGATATCAGCAGTATTGAATGGTTTTGTACATCGAGACAGATTAATATAGAAAATAGTTGTAAATGGGATTAAAATCTTTGGACTTGATTAGACTGCAAATTAAATACAAGCAAAAACAGTTTTAGGGTAAATACACAGTGGTAATAACTATGGAGAAAAGTAACAAAGTAAACACTAAATTTCAGTCTTAGAGGAGACACAATTGCTCACTTGGCATGGATATGGTACTTAGAGATGTTAATTGAGTTTTGAGAAGCTAGTCATGTCTGTCTGAATGATTTAAAATGTTTTCATTTAGGGTATATTGATGTATCTTCCAGAGAGCCATTAAACAGCCTTACATTTGTCACTTTTTTAAAAAAGTTACTCACTGGGTGGTGGTGGCACATACCTTTAATCCCAGCACCTGGGAGGCAGAGACAGGTGTACCTCTGTGAGTTCAAGCCCAGCCTGGTCTACAAGAGCTAGTTCCAGAGCTCCAAAGCTACAGAGAAAGCATGTCTAAAAACAAACAAACAAACAAACAAACAAACAAAAAATTACTCACAACTAATTTGTACTAAAAAGTACTGCATTTTCAGATTGTTTGAACATTCATTGATCCATATAGAGATAAACCACGAAATTTGTGGTATGAAACAGAAATAAAGGGAAAGTGATTGATTTTTTTTTATCCAAAATTTGTTCACACAAACTGAAGGTATAACCATTCATGTGAAAGTAATTAATGTGATTTAATATTATACTTTTGGAGTCTGGAATGTTGACCCAACACTTAAGAGTGCATGCTGCTCTTCCAGAAAACCTGAATTAGTGATCACTGACAATGTAGGCGTCTCACAGATGCTTTTGCTTCAGGCGTTCTGATGTTCTCATCTGACATCCATGGGCACTGCACTCACAAACACAAGCACACACAAAATAAAAATAATATAAAATTTAAAATAGTTATTATAGCTGATACCCAGATAACTATATATTTTATATATCATTTTTATCAATTATTTAATCATTATGAAATTTCTACAAGGTATAATTTCAGAAATATAAATTGATTTGCTATGTAGCACATAAACAGAAAAGTTAAAACTTTAAACTAGCTGTGTCTTTTTTTCCATAGATCTGTCATTTCTCCGTATACAAATATTGCATTGCTTTTGATGTCAGAAATTGGGGCATTTAGATTGTGAAGAACTGGATGTTATCAAGCTCTATATGGTGTTAGCTAATTAATGTTCATTATGTTAATAGAATATTAAAGACTCAATGTTATATAAACTCTGGCGAATATCTACCAAAATTATTCTGAGATTCAATGATTTACTTAGTATTAAACATTTGTTCAGTATTTTTGATCATTTTATTATTATTATTTTGTTACAGATTTAGTCGACAAGGTAAAGCAAACATTTCTAAAAACCCTGTGCGTCTGAAGCATAAAGAACAGATGGCCATATTAATACAGGTGGACAAAGGCTGATGGAAATAGGAGATGAGAGGATTAACAGGTGAGGCAGGTGGTGAGGAAAGCAGTTTTGTGTTTTTTTCCATTGGCTTGCTGTCAAGGTGGGGAGAGGAAATTTAAGAAAAATCAGTTCTCTTAAAAGAAGAGCTATCTTTGGGACGAGTTACCTTAATGAAATAGAGAGGTGGTTTATGCTTGATAAAAAAGAAAGACTATGAGAACAGAGAGAAAAGACCTATAATTATATCAACCCTGCCTGATGCAGAACAACCATGCACAATGTCCGGATGATGTAACTCTCTAGCTGCAATTACACTGAGATGTTAAGAAGGTTGACCAGAACGACCTCTTACTGGGTAGTCATAGCTATGCTTCCGGCTTGACCCAGGGGGGCAGTACTTCACTGCAGTTTGCATATCTTTCCAAACAATAGTACCCTATTTCTGTGACACCTCCACTGTGAAAGAGCAAAGTTACTTTGGCTGAGTGATAGAATGGGGACAGCCTGGTGTGCACTGTCCCATTCCGTGGAGTGCTACTGATGTATCCTTCTGAAGTTTTCATTGCAAAACTCAATTCATTTAAAGGACTTTCTTGTCGTTTCTTTCTGTTAGCTGGCTAGAATGCGACACAAATTCTAACCTAGCTTGGTCTATTGAACCATTAGTCCAAGTATCATCCCTTCAGATTTCCAGGTGCTGTAGTTTGTGCACTTGCCACAGTCAAGGACAATGCTGAAAACCTGTGGCATGACCGAGTTGCCTTACATTGCCATTTAGATATAATTCATCCCAATGTATGAATCTGGCTCATGTATCCAGGTCTTGTGTCATCGATAAATCCCAAGATCACCCATAGAGTTATTTTTTCAAAGCTTTGGAAACACAAGATAATATAGAGGTGCCCTTTTCAACGACCTCGTGTGCAGCCAAGGAGAGGCCATTCGTTATTTGCCTTGTCTGTGAAATTCCAAGTCACTTTGTTTCTGTCCATTGTTGATCCCCAGTGCTCCCACAAGACAGACATCTCTACTGCATGCAGCAAGAAAACGGACATGAGAGCTTTGCAGTGAAACACGAAATGCTGCCGTGAAAGCAGCACTTGGTCTTCCTCTGAAGTTCCTACCTGAGCGCAGAGCCTCTTTCTGCATGCTTTCGTAGTCATGCCAGTCTTTCCTTCTCAGCCCATCTGTCCACGAATAGAATTGCCCATCTCCCAGGCCCAGTGGAAACGTCTGTGGGAAGAGAAAGAATTCAACCATAAAAACGGAGGTATTTTCTTCGGCATGGCTGATAAACACAGTAGGGCACATAAGAGGCAAGACAAGAATATTTTTTTAATTAAATAGCTTCCCTGAATATTTGAGATGAAAACTATTGTTACTGACTGGAAAAATCCACATCCCGAACCCCCCGTTTTAACATTTAGAGTGAGAAAAGTCTTAGTCCCAAGTACAACCACATATTATTAAACATTTTATTTGATCTAGAGACTGTGTTGAGTACAGCTTGTCCTCCCTAGGTGTTTTCTTTTGTTCAGTTGATCTGCTTAATTAATTTTGTTTGTGATTGATAAAGTTTTATTTGTTTTAGTCAAAAGTAATTGAATGGCTTTCTAATAATATTAGCAACTGTTCATGGAATGCTCACTATGAGATCAGTACTATATTAAATGCATTACATGTACACTTACAAATATCTTGAGTGACAAATCCCCGTTTTCCTGGAAATCAGACTGAAGCCAAGAGAACTATAAGAACGCTGTATGTCCACACCAAGGTTTGAATCCACTCTTTGAAGGCTGGCATTGTGGCCTGCATTGACAGCAAAGTGCTGGATTTTATCTGATTTCTGATAAAGTAGAGTTTGTGTTTACAATGAAGGTTCAAATGGGAACCCCAAATCCAATGTGTTGTGATGTCAACTTGGAGATTTCCCTTGCTTATATTGTTGGGATAACTTTAATTCTCCTAAATTATGTCCATAGTTTAGAATAAGAAACTAAAATTATTATAAAAGAAATTTATTTTCACAATCATAGTTTTAGTGGCATTTTACTTGTATTTTAATAAATAAAGCTTTAATCCCAGCCCTAGAAAGGACTATAAAACAGGAGGACACAGCTCTCAGTCTAATTCTTAGATTCTTGGAGGCAGGATTACCATTTCAGATTGATATTGAGGTAGGAGCCAGTGACTGGTTTGCTTTTCAGATTTTCAGATTGAATCCCACTTTCTCTCTCTGAGTTTTTATTAGTCATGCTTCCCATAGTAGTCACATAATAACCTATATATTACATAAAGAAGCAAATTATGCAATGTAGAAAATGTCAATTTGTTGAAAGATGTGTAAATTCAATTACATATTTTCCCTAACAGTATTTCCAAGGTAAACGGAATATCTTATCTCTTAATTTTAGATGTCATTTCCATTGCACTTATTTATTTACCATTGCTTTACCTTTATAGCTTACAGAATAATGCAATGCTTTAAAAGGCTAGAAATAAGATATAATGTTTAAAAAGAAACAGTGGGTTTAAGTCAGACAAAAAAATCTTCTTATTTATATGACACACTTACATAGTTCAGATTTTTATAAAAGTATAGGTCACTGGAGTAGCAAATGGGAAAGATGACACAAAAGAAAGATAATGGTGACTACACACAAAATATTAAGAGGAATGAAGATGAAAAGAATGAATTTAGGAAAAAAGGAATAATGAAGTAGAGAGGGGAACTCTATGAGGGTCGATAACAACCATTTGAAATTACAGTAGCACACTAGCAAAATCTAATGAGAAATTATAAGGAACTGAACATAAAGTATAATCCTGTGATTTATATCAGTCAATTTAAAAGGCTCTATTCATATAGGTAATGTTACTTTTAAACACAGCTTGCAAATGAACACATTTGAGATGACACTGGGAATAATCTTGTGAAACAAACTCTGTCTGTTGACTTAGAATGCTGCTTTCCCAGTTTTCACATATTTATGGTAGAGACCCCATTGTAACTCCTAGTTCAGGTATATTGAATACAAAGTTGATCTTTAGTTTCTCCACAAAAGAAAGGACAGGAAAGAGACCAACATGTTCAGAAAAACCAATAGTATATATTGTAAGGCAGCCTAAGAATTTGAGGACAAAATTTCAATGACACCTAAGAACAAGAGGCATCAATTATTTCTGAGTATAGGCTAAAAGCGATTAAAGGATTGACTTCATTTGTACAAGGCAGTTCAATCTGATTTCTATCTCCAAGTGAAGCAAAGTGATTTCTGAGTTCCTCCCACTGTATTCCCTCTCCATAGATGATGTGAGTTTGAATGACAAAATTTCTTCTTGGGTGGAGGTCTTGATTTACTGAAAAATTAGGTTTCCTGTCAGTCTATCTGCAAGCCATTACTAACCTAGCTACCCTTTCCCACTGTGCTTCAAGAATACTGTCAGCTCAAGGTTAACATCCTAGGACCAAAATGATGGAAAATCCTGCATGAAGCGTTGGAACCACAATGAAGAGATGCGGCACTAGATCCTATCACACACCTAGTACCTATGAGTTCCTCTCACCAGCTAGCTCTCGACACACAATGCCTAATGTCACTGTTTACTTTATTTGGCTTGTGAGTGTGAATATAGAGCCAAGGGTTGCCAGACTTCTGAGAGAAATGGTAAGAGGTTATTTGAAAGCCTAAAGAAATTGCAAACTTAAGAATACACGAAAGCAATATAAAGTACAGAGACTGTTTAGCAAAGTAAACATGTAATTTCCTAAAAGCCTTACAGAAAGCACTTTCTTAGAAACAGGGGGAAGAAAGAAAATTTAAAACCTAGGAAAGAACTTTGAAAAAGTAAAATATATAAAAAAAATTAAGGAGGAATTGAGGAAATTACAGTCATAGCATTTAAAAAATAGGCAGAAACAAATTCAAATAGAGATTTAAAAAGATACAACAGTAAAGGAAAATAAATCCTTCACTCTTCATCAGACAAGAAGGATGGAAGTTGCTCCTAAAGACGACTTCTCTGTGAAAAAAGAACGTAAACCAAAAGATAAATTATCTCTTTCTTTCTTTTCCAATAAAAACATTAGAAATACTTAGACTTAAAAAAAATGAAGTTAATTATTAATGGTTATATAAAACCAACTGGGGCTGAACATGTTGGTTCATGCCTGAATTCGAATGCTAGAAAATTTAATGGAGGACTATCGCAAATTTAAAATGAATCTGGTCTACATATGGTGAAACAGTAGCCTTCAACAAATTTCAAATAAAATAAAAAGGAAAAAGAAAACAGGCTATGGAGACAGCTAGTGGGTTAAGTAATAGTCACAGGCGCATATTGACCAAAGTCCTTAACCCCAGAGTTACTTAAAATGGCAGGAATGGCATTATGTAACTGCAATCCTAGTGTTAGAGTAAGAAGTGAGATTGATCCAGATCATCCAGGCCAGACAGGTTACTCAAATCCGGAAACTTTAGGTTTAGTGATGGACCATGTCTCAACATAAAAGAAGAGAAAGATCAAGGAAGACATTAGCCGTTGACATGTAGAAACCGACCTTATTATGTAGCATTTTCCTCCTAAATGACACACTCTATCCTGGAGTTGAAGACCTTAAGACTCTCAAATTCTAAATGGAGTCTCCTTGTGATTCAGGGACACACAGCTCAAGAGTCTCAGTGAATCCCCACAATGTACTGGATGCATAAGAGTTCACCTTTCTTGAGTTTGCATAAAAATTAAGGGAGGTGAAAAGGATTAACAAACCTTTGGATTGACCTACAACTGTTCCTGAGACTTCCAATGCTCTTCTTTATCATCATCATCATCATCATCATCATCATCATCATTCAGATTTTATTTTACTCATAGCTTTAGAACCTCACTCAAGCACTGGGTTTGGGGATTTCTATTCACCCTGGGTTAAACTTTTGGTGATCTCTTGTCTTTGATTTGTCTCTACTCCTCTGAGTAATCTCTGACTCATACTCCTGTATGTAACACTGTCACACAATAAACTCATTGGTTTATCAGGTTGGGTTGTTACTGTTACTTTAATCAGTCATTGGTTCCCTCTCTGGAGTGACAAGACATTTGTTCAGGTTTCCCAAGGAATAGTGTCACCTCAAATTCCACAAAAGAATAAAAATAAATAAATAAAAACTACATACAGCTGAGGGTGATGACATGCTTTAATACCAGAGCTAATAAGGCTGAGGGAGGAAGAGCCAGAGTTGGAGGCTAGCCTGGGTTATTAGTAAGTTCAAGGCAAACCTTAATACATAGCAATATTTCATTTCAAGAAATAATAACAACAAAAATAAAAACCTCAAAAAAGTGGGAAAAATGGGCTAATGAATTTGGCTTGATGAGAAACATTATAAAAAAAAGAGCAGAAAAATAGTATTTACTATTTGATCTTTCATGAATATTCTAACCTGATAAACTACTAAACTAAAATCAGTGTAATAAGTATACTAAAGGGAAATAGTAGATGAATCTATTTAAGATAACATTTTATCTAATTGCAGATTAGTAAATAAAGCTAATATCACAAGACAAATTATCAAAAGCTAGAAATATAAACGTTACCTATAAATTTGAAACATATAACTAAATTAAGATGATAAAGGACAACCTCAAAAGACAAATAAAGATTAACACACTTGCTTCAGAAATCAGATCTTGCTGGGAGGTAGGGAGGGTGAGGGAATTGATGTAGAACATTTCAGAATCAGACATTATTGTATAATTACAGTCAAAAGTTGTTTCCAGCATTAGTTTTCCCTAAAAACAAACATCTTGAACACTTGTGTCCATTTCTTATGTGGTCTTAACTATTGTTTGTGCTCTGGTAAGGTTAGCTGGTAAAGTAAGAACGATTTATGATGGAGGAGGTATAACGCTGGAATGAAACACTGGTCACTATGCTGTGACAAATGATGTCTGAGACTTTTCTGTCTTAACACCACTTCTATCTACACCACAACTTCTTCACCAACCAGTTATGCAACTGGTTTGAAATGCAGTCCAGCAGTCCTGACTAAGTAGAAGAGAAGGACTGATAACTTGTTCACAGGTTGATTCTTGGGCTTACTAGAGAGCCCACGTGTGGGAGAATGACCCAATTATCAGAGCAGAAGTCCAACTCATTAGGAGACCATGTGCTACATTTTACAGAATAGTTGATTGGGTATTCTTGTATCCTTTCTCCCTGACACAATGGT